ACATTTGATCAGGTGGTGCAGCAGAAATAATCTGTCCCTCAATGTGGGGAAAACTAAGGAGGTCATCATAGATTTCAGAAGGAAACAACCACACATACACCTGTCTATAACTATTAACAACTCTCCAGTTGAAATTGTCAAACCTTTAAGTCCTAGGCATCCACATTTCAGACTCCCTCTCATGGTCGCTTCCATATCAGCTGTGCATTAAGAAGGCAAATCAGAGGCATATTCCTGAGGGGTCAAGAAATATGGTATGCCCTTAACATCCTACAGAACTTTTACCGCTGTACAATTGAGAGTATAACTGACCGGAATATTGTAGTGTGGTTTGGCAGGGCTACTTTACATGACTAATCTTCTGACAAAGATGGTCAAAACTGCATCTAAAATATTGGGGTTCACTTGAACCGCTCCAAAACTTTACAGGAAACGCAGCACTAAGAAGGCACTAGGTATTATGCAGGATTTTAGTCATCCTGCACACAACAATCCCCAAAAAAAAAAAAATCCCCTCATTCTCCCCACCCAAACAAATGGGACGAGGTCAGGAGGCGTATGTGTAGGTATAGGTTTGTGGTTTAGGTTATTTCCCACTTATCTTTTGTATATAATGATCTGAGTGTTGTATTATAGCACTTTGAACCATGGCAGCTTATTAGTGGCCGGGTGCACTAAACAGCCAATACTATATTCTATAATGCTGTGATTTGATTAGAACCAATCATCTTTTGGCAATCTAATCAATGTTGTACATAAATGCTCACAATATCTCTTTACATTACAGACTTTGCACAACCAGTTTTGGCAATAATCTGATTAATTATGTTCATATTTATGAGTTTATACGATAGGAAAAGTTATGCCTGTGTTTTTTTGTTTTTCCTTCAGGTGAAGAGCGGCGTCCGCAGCAGCCATGGCAGGGGGAATCAACGACACCGGGGAGCCCTACTCCGCATTTGTGAGTATCATGTGGTTGATCCCTGATCCTTATTGATCATGTAAGGCCAGGCGCATGTTCAGCCTCCTTTTTAAAAGCCACAGGTTTCCATTAGGCTGCAGCTCTGAATGCAAAGTCCACCTGAATGGGGCAGCTGAACCTTTAAACGCTGCTCAGGTTGAGAGGTTGTATTCTGCTCTGCTGACCTGCAGCTGATTGAACTACGTGCCGATCTCTCAGATGTGTTTGTAAGTGGGGCTGGAGTTTATGAAAGTGCAGTTAGAAATAAAGAGGAAGCTAAAATGCTTACACGTCTTCTTCTTTATGGTCTGCACTCACTTTTGACAACTCATTTCAGTCCAGACTTTGCTTACATCGGCATGACTTTGCCACAAAGATTAAGTTCTGCTGGTCAACTGTTTTTTTTTCAGGAAGCTAAAGCTTTGAATCATTAAAGCACTCTGCTATCTGATCTGGGTTGATCAGTTAGCCCAGTTCCCTCACAATGCCTGAATCCTCAGCCTAGTAGTCTGATCTTAAAGCAACCCCTGATACTGTAGTGCCTGAGAAACCATTAATATTGGGTGAAACTGGATTGATCGTGTGGGGAAAACGGTGTTTAAGGATGGAATAAATGTTGAAATAATGTCTCGTGTGTTCTCCAGGTGGGGCTGGTGTACATGTTCAATCTGATCGTGGGAACAGGAGCTCTGACGATGCCCAAAGCCTTCGCCACAGCCGGCTGGGTGGTCAGCTTATCACTCCTCACCTTCTTAGGGTTCATGAGGTAAGTCTTGTTCTTCCTACAGCAGAACACTGGGCCTCGTATCTTCTCTTGTACGAGTAGAGAGTGTGCCATGTCAGACTCCTAACTTAAGGGTTCTGTGTGAATCGGCGGTGTAAAAATGAGAATTAAACATTTGCATTACTAACGCCTCACGATGATACCACATGAGCTCTCGCAGCCCCGCCCGTGTGTGAGGGAGTTCATCATGAAAAAGAAGAACTTTACGAGCTCAGAGATTAAAGTCCTGCTCGCCCAGATGATTTTTAACGGCGTCAGCAGTGGAGTTAAAGGACCTGCTAAAGCGGAGAGCACCTGAGGGTCGTACTGTTAATGAAACCAAGAAGAAGTGGTTGATAACCGCAACAAGAGAGGCTCGAGTGGAAGTCTTCACAGAGATAGAGGAGAGAACACGTGCTGTAAGAGGTGATCGTTCCCCTGAGCAGCGACCTGTATACGCCTTAATGTGAACCTCTTCAGTAGACTCCTACAGGTGCTCTGGACCTCGTCAGTTGTGTTCAAAGAAAGTTCAAAATAAGAGAAAATTGGTGAACGTTTCTCCTGAATCAGTCGTACGAGCCACGACTCAGCGACTCTGTTGGTACGAGTGGTTCCTGCATGAGACCCAATCACGACCGATATCTGCTCTCTGTTCACAGTTTATATTCAGTTTCAGAAGTAAAACAGCACATCTCTTCTTGATTTTAAGAGCTAAGATCCTCTGATTCCTGGGTTCTTTAGTCCTCTGTGGCTGTAAACTGAATATCTTTGTGTTGTGGACTACAGATACAGATACAGATACAGAGTGAACATGATTTACTCTAACAGAGTCTCTTCTATAAAGTCAATACAAACCATGTGAATTGGTGGCCAGGAGCTCTATTCGCAGTATCTCTGATTAAAGCAGGCTCCTTTACGATGACATTCGCTAAGAAGATTGTGCACAATGTGGTGAGTTCACATTCCCAACATTCCTCCTCCTCCATGTTGTGCTGGGCTCAAACAGAAGGCTGCACACGATGTCTCTCTGTTGTTGTATCACACTGACATACAACATGTCATTCCTGCCACTAGAGGCTCTCTCACATCCAAACAATAACAGAAGGAGGTTAATGATTATAGTGAAGCAGCGTGGGATCATGGGAGTTGTTGTCTTCACCACCACTGGCGTCATTGCAGTCAGCTTCTCCCGGTTAGGATTCCTTCAGTGTTCATGGTTCAGGAGGTTTCTACCGGGAGCCCAATTATCCACAGAGGTCTCCTCCTCTCCAAAACAAACCAGACCTGCCTGATTAAAACCACTAAACACACTGAATAAAGCAGTTCCACCTTAAAACAACACTGAATAAAGCAGTTCCACCTTAACAATCACTGCTTCTCCCACGCTGGTTGACAGACAAAGGACGTCCCGGAGGGGCTGCGAGCCGAGCTGCTGCTAACGTTAGCTCAGCTTGTTTCTCTGATAACTTAAGATCCAGACGTCCGATGACTAAAATCCTTCATCTGGTTCAAATCTAGAGTTAAAAAGCACCAAGATCTAAACAGTGGATGGTAACAATGTGGCTTCAGACTGGATAAACAGTCAATGATTATAGATTATTGATTGAATCAACTCCATATAGAACATAGCTCTAGAGTTTATTCACTGTTTAATGAGGAAATGTTACCTACTATTAAAAAGGTAATATGAAGTAATATTATTTGTCTTCAGTGAGTTTTTTGGGGTAAAATAATGAACAAAAACAGTATGTGCAGTAGCTGCTCTCTGCCTTTAGAGG